AACTCTCAGGGGTGCTTGATTTCTACAGGGAATGTTGGAAGGAAGCATTCTATGCTCGAGACTTTCCTATCAGCCTCCTCAAGGAGCCCCGATTGTGTCTCAGAAGCACTAAAGAGAATGTGAACCTGCAGCCTATCAGGATGGATGGATGGATGGATGGATGGATGGATGGATGGTGTGTGTGTGTGTGTGTGTGTGTGTGTGTGTGTGTGTGTGTGTGTGTGTATGTGTGTGTGTGTGTGTGAGCTACACTGCTCCGGGATGAATGAGGAGGTGGGAGGCATAAGCACAGTCCCCCAACTTGGCTTAAAATGGCTTTTGAGGCTTAGAGTATCCTTATCCAGCCCAGCACTGCAGAGGACTGACTCAGGCAGAAGCCTGAAAGACTCCTCTCCTCCCTCATGAATCCCTTGAGCTTCTGGGGTGCAGGGAGAAAGGCAGGCCCCTGCCGGGCCTGGAGAACCCCCGACCTAATCCCCGGAAGAAGGGGACCCCTACTCCGAGTGGCTGTTCTCTGCCCCTCTTGTCACATACATGCTCATCTCACCGTCCTCAGCATCCTCCGCCCCTCAGTCCTCTCATCCCCTCACTGTCTGACTTGTGTGTGGAGAAGGAATCTGAGCTAAAAGGCGTCTCAATTTATTACAAGGAAATTGGATGATCTTGAAAGATGATTCTGGTCTCAGGATTTTCCTAACTAAACTGGCTTCGTCAGGGTTGGCGATCATTGGTGCCTAATAATTGTGTGTTGAACTAATTGGCTCATTAATTGGGGGATATCCTTGACCTCCATAAGAGAAATGACTATCTCTGGTGTGTGAGAGGCTGGAAGGGCGGCAGGAGACAGCAGCAGGCTCATAGTTCTGTTTGGTAAAGACCTCAGATTCACAGGCATGTAATACCACAGGGCGAATGGGGGGACAAGGTGGGCCCCCTGCCCCATTCACAAATCCCACCTCCTACAGACAACCATTTTCAAATCTTTTAGCTGTTTCCTCTGCCATTTTCCTCTGTTTACATGATATGTTTTACTGCCATTTTTGACTTTTCCATTTTAGACATTTATTGAATGTATTGACTTCCTGCCATAGAATAAGATTCATCGGTAGCATACACACATACAGGAACATGAGCAACTCTTCTCCCACCCTCCCAATGGAGTTATGTTATAATTTTTGGTTAAATTATTTTTAATGTTTATGTTAATATGTCCACATATGTATTATTATGAACTTATCCCTAAGACTCTGACAGAACTCTAAAACTCCTCTCAGGAAGGTCAGGCATATCAGAGATCCCTCAATTAGTTTTTTGTTTTTTATTTTTGAGGCAACACTCTTGGAAGCCTGCATGCTTCTGTTTCCATCTGAACTCTTCGCCGTCCATGCCCGCTGTGTAGTCGTCATCTGGGACTTTCTTTCCCCGTCATCCTGGGATTCTGTTCACCTTTCTCTTCTGTTGGATTCCCTAGTTCCTTGAACTTATGCTTTTCTTTTTCTACTATAATTATTTTTGGTGGAAAAACATCCTCCAGCAGCTTCTGAGAAAGTGTTCGTGGAAGGTTACTTTTTTGCAACTCTTGAAATTTGAAAATGTCTACATTGAATCCCAACCTTGAGTGTTAGTTTAGCTGGGTGTAGAGTTCTAGGTTGTAAATTTTTCTTTCTTTTTTTTTTAAAGATGACCAGTAAGGGGATCTTAACCCTTGACTTGGTGTTGTCAGCACCACGCTCAGCCAGTGAGCAAACCGGCCATCCCTATGTGGGATCCGAACCCATGGCCTTGGTGTTATCAGCACCACACTCTCCCAAGTGAGCCACTGGCCGGCCCTAGGTTGTAAATTTTTCCTCCAAAGTTTTAAGACATTGCTACATTGTCTTTTAGGTTCTAGTTAAGAAGCCTAATACCTTTTGATTCCAAATTTTTATATTTGACTGTTTTCCTCTTTCTGAAAACTTTGAGGATTATTTCTTGATTCATAGAAATTGAATATAAATTGACAATGATATGCCTTGGTGTGAGTCGTTTTTCATTATTACTTTTATTTTTATTTTTTATTTTTACTGGAAACCCTATAGGCTCTTTCAGTTCAGAAATCCATGCTTTCCATCTTTCCATTCTGGGAAATTCTCTCTTATATACTTTCCAATTAATTTACTCATCTCCATTTTCTGTGTTCCATTGTCTGGGACTTCTGTTAATTGGATGTCAGACCTCCTGGACTGGTCCTCTAATTTTGTTATATTTTCTCTACTATTTTCAATCTCAATCTCTCTCTCTCTCTCTCTCTCTCTCTCTCTCTCTCTCTCTCTCCTGCTTTGTAGGAGATTTCTTCACCTTTTTCTAGCTCTTCTATTGCAATTTTAAGGTTTCTGCCATCTTTTTTTTTTTTTTTCCTTAAAAAGATGACCGGTAAGGGGATCTCAATCCTTGACTTGGTGTTGTCAGCACCACGCTCAGCCAGTGAGCGAACCGGCCATCCCTATATAGGATCCGAACCCGTGGCCTTGGTCTTATCAGCACCGCACTCTCCCGAGTGAGCCACAGGCCGGCCTGCCATCTTATTTTTAATTTTCAACTCTTTACTGTTCTCTGGACATCCCCTTTTATAGCATTCTGTTCTTTCATGGATGCGATATCTTCTTATAACTACCTGAAGATATTTATTTTAATTACGACAGAAGTTTTTTTCTGTCTCGTTTTTAAAATTTTCTTTGCTCCCTATAAAGTTCCTGTGTCCTCTGTGTTCCTTTCGTCTATTTGTTTATTTTGGTCTTCATCAAACCCGTGGCCTTGGTGTTATCAGCACCGCACTCTCCCGAGTGAGCCACGGGCCGGCCTGCCATCTTATCTTTAATTTTCAACTCTTTACTGTTCTCTGGACATCCCCTTTTATAGCATTCTGTTCTTTCATGGATGCAATATCTTCTTATAACTACCTGAAGATATTTATTTTAATTACGACAGAAATTTTTTTCTGTCTCATTTTTAAAATTTTCTTTGCTCCCTATAAAGTTCCTGTGTCCTCTGTGTTCCTTTCGTCTATTTGTTTATTTTGGTCTTCATCGTTCATGTGAGAGCCTATTTCAAATAACAGGTGGTCCTTGGCCATCTGTTCGTGTTTTATGGTGAGCCTCTGAAAAGCTGATTGGAAGCCCGAGGGAGGAGGGAGATGCCAGTCTTGTTGACCAATGGGACCCTGTGATGTCAGTATCTGTAGGTGATTGCTTTTGAGCTCATCAGTGTCCCCAGAAGGGAATCATCCAACCTCCTGCCACAGGGAGTAGAGACTGGCAGTTGGCATGCTGGAAGCTGAGCAGGGAAGAGAGCAGAGGGTCTGCTCACACAGCAAGTAGAGGTCCACCCTAGTCCTAGTCCTCAGCCGTGCCTGTATCCTGGCCTCCAAAGCCTGTGTGGTCAGTCTCTCCAAAAGACTTGGGAAGTCCCCTGGCTCTATGAAGTGGGGGCAGAGATCTGGGGTCTAGTTCCCTCTTACATAAACTTTCAAACAGCCCTGTTTTCACCACCCCTGCACCTTGGCCTTCAGAGGGTCCTGGTCTCCCTGATTCCTGAACTTTTCTAAGGTTACAAAGGACTTCACCTCCCAGCCTCCTGATGGCTTCCGACACTCCTTCTGCAGGCACTTGGCACTGCTGAGAAAGCAGGCACCAAAGCAGTTATTGCCCTCCCTCTGCTTTTCCATCTTCCAGCATGTGATGGCCCTTGTCCTCTATTCCTTTTGTCCTCGTGGGGTTATACCTTTTCCCCACTTTTCTGTCATGTTAGCTGGGTTTGGGAAAGAAGTGAACATAACTGTCTGTCTCCACACCGGTATAATCAGAGCCTCTTTCCTGTGTCTCCTCAGCACTTTATCTGATACCCATGTGAGAGGACTTAGCACCATGTACCTTACTTAGATATGTTCTTGGCTCTCTCCCCAGTAGACTGGGAGGACAGGAATCAAGTCTTACTCATTTTTTTGTAACCCCAGTATCTAACACAGCACCAGGTATACAACAGGCACTCACTAAATGTGTGCTGAATAATTGAATGAGCAAACTGGCCTCAGTGTCCCGATCTCTAAGATGAGGGCTTTGGAGCCATGGGTGTCCAGTTCTCTGTGCTTCCACTGGGAAGATGGGGTGGTCCCTGGGGCCACGTCAGCTGTGTCAGTCCTAGGAGAGGGTGGCCTCAGGATGGCATCTCTGGAGCACCACTATGCATGTCTTCCTGCCTCTGTTTCAGGGAGCAGTGTGTGCCCAGCCCTGCCCACCAGGGACTTTTGGCCAGAACTGCAGCCACGACTGTCCTTGCCACCATGGAGGGCAGTGTGACCATGTGACTGGACAGTGCCACTGCACAGCTGGATACATGGGGGACAGGTAAGGATGGTGTGAACTCTTACCCTTGCTGTTCATATTGCTCATGTTCACAGCAGCTTGCAGAGGACAGCGGAGGTTTACCAGCCCGCCGCACTCTGCCAGCCTTCAGTTCCTTCCTCAGAAAGCATTCTGAGTCCTCCTGCCAGGGAGATGCATAGCTCATCCTTCGTCTCCTTGGCCATCAGAGAACACGCCCTCTCCCAGCCCAGTTGCCCAACTTGCACAAGCTCACCTGGGGGCAGGACTCACTCTCTACTCACTTAACTAACAGAGGGAGGCAGCGTCACAGGTAATACAAAGAAGCCAAAAGTGCAAAATCAGTTCACACGTGTTGCAGGATTTCTTCTAGAAAAGTAGTTTTATTCCTAATTTGAAAGGATACTGACAGCCGGAAGGATACTGCCAGCAGTTTGCATCCTGTGAAGGCCTGTGGCCTGAGAACAGATTGAACGAGGGCACCAATATCCTGGAATGAAACCAACCTTGCAGAGTTGACAGTCCACAAAACACATGCCTGAGGAACTGCCACATGTGCACATTTGCCACAGTCGGAAGAAGGATGCCGTGATGCTAGGGTAGGTGTGGTGGAAGAGGGAGAAACAACAACCAGCGTGTCTGGCCGTGAGTGAATTCAGAGCTAGAGGAGGACATTTGCCCATGGAACCCAGGCCAAGCCTCCTCCCTCTCCTTCTCGACCAGATGGGTCTCTTCGAGCAGAGAGAGGGGCAGTAAAGAGGGAACCCCGACCCCTTATCTGATTCCATGGGGGTCCATGTTTCATTTATGGCCCCTGGATTTTGTTATTTCCCAGAGTGAGGTGAGAAGAACATTTGTTCATCATCCCTGTGCCTCCCTGGTCTAGGGGACATCAGGAAGCAGAGACTGAGGCTGAGTCAACCAGTCAGTCCTTCTGGCTCTGACTGATGTAATCGGGGCTTCTCCAGCTCTTACTAGAATCAGCCCCAAATCCTTAGTCATGCCCAGAAAAGAGATTTTCCATTAGCCTTGGGCATGCTGACCTCCAGCCTCAGGTCTTTTAAGCCAGATCTCGTCTCTTTTGAGCCAGCGTTCATCTACATGAGTGGCATAGAGCATGTGGTGTGGCATCTGGGGATCAATCCTTCTTTGAACCCGGGGACAGAAGACTGAAGCATTGAGCCCACCTTCCCATCCTCACCATCTCCCCCAAATAAGGAAATACTCAGGATGAGCCAGTAGGGACAGGAGCCAGGAAGACCCCAAACCGGAGCAGGACCCTTTTGTTTCAGTGCATTTTCATCTGAGAGGGAATACAGCCCGTTTGTTGCTGGAGACAAGCTAGCCTAGGGCTCCAGCTGGCTGGACTCAACACCAGTAGACTCCACCTCATGGGGTCCCTTGATTTTTACTGCTAAGATGTACCAAATGGAAAAATAACCCAAAATATCTCTTCTTGTTGGAGCCTGGCCCATGAGCCTGGGGCAGAGGGAAGTCCCCAAAGCCTAGGACCTTCTAGCAAGCTTCACCAATCAACCACAGGAGAGTTCAGTAGAAGGGCTGGGTAGTCTTTGGGTTTCCCACCTAAACAGGCTGCCTAGTGTTTAATATTTTGTAAAATTGCCTCCATTAATTTTGTAGGTGACAGCTGCATTAACCCACCCCAAGTCATTGCAAGCATATTAAAGTTGAGTGGGGTAATAACACAGGCCTCCCTGGATAGGCAGAATCTCATGCAAATTAAACACGAAACGTAACGAGAGCTTTGCAGCTCATTTCGTAATTTAATTGAGCAATGTATCTGGTTGTTAATGGCAATATCGGACACATTAGATTGATATGTTGCAAAGGAAGGATGTTTAAGTAGAAAACTAATTCCTGCTGTGATTACCCTTCTGTTCCAAAGGCCCTGTTATTAGCGTGCTTTGTGTAAAATTCATTAGCAGTCGTTGCTTGATCTCTAAATAAATAAGTTGTTTAAATTGTAAGTAGGAAAAAAAAATGAGGCTGGTTATGTAAATGGATTAGGCTGTGAATATTTCATTTCCAGATTCTTTTTCTGGGATTCTGGATTCAGTTACCCCCAAAATATGGTGGGGTGGGGACGTGCCCCTCAGAGGAGCTCAGTGTCCAGGGCTCTGCCCAGTCTTGCTAAGCAGGAGGGAGCAGGAATGTTTGAGTGGAAGGGAGGAAGCATCGGGATGTATCTTGTAGTTTGAATTTTCTTCCCTGACATTTGAGACATCTGAGGCAAGCAAAGTTCAGTGACTTCTGGGAAATCCATGGGCCAGGGACTGGCAGTTCAGATAGTGATTGTCCAGGTCTTCAGCAGCTCTTTGTCCTCCCCTTCTGCCTCAGTTTCCCTCTTTCCCTCCCCCATCCTACTTCTCCTCCTCCTTCCCGTCTTCCACTTTCCATGACTTCTGCAGATATCCCCTCTTTCTTTCCTCCTCATCCCTCTCTTTTCTGCTCTCTTTCCCTTCATGAGGCCTCAGATTGGCTAACTTGCAGGACAATCTGGGGTCACCATCACTCGCAGGCTGGTGAGCTTGGAACAGCCACCTCACCTGTTTCATCCTCCTCAACTCCAAAGTGAAGGTGATGAGAATATCTGCAGCTTCAGGGGCTGGGGACGGGCTTTGAGGCCTGAGCATCTGGAACCTCCTCTCTATATGATGCCCGAGGCTGTTGCCATCATGACCCCTGCTGCCCCTCCATTCTGCCAGACTTCTCCTTTGCCACAGTGGCTCTGAGAGGGGAGAGCTGGTGGCATCTTCCCATGAATTAAGCTCTCAAGGCCAGACCCTTGTCACTCTCTTCCTGTCTCTGTCATTGTGGACACAGAGCAACAAAGACAGCAGAGAGTCAGGGACACCCCACTCTTGAGTTGCCAAGTCTAGTGTCCCGACACACTGGCTGCTGTTGCCCCCCAGGCACTCACTGGCAGGCCCTACCCATGCCCTGGGGTCTGGCTACTCACCCTCATGACAAGCAGCCGAGATCATCCAGACACCACATCTCCTGCCCAGCCTGTGGAGAATACTTGCTTCCACCCCATGACCCTCCAAGAAGTTAGGGCTGTAGTTTTTACAAAACTTCTTTTATTGCTTTTTGCCCCCTTGATTATTGTAGAAGACCTACGGAAAACATGGGAAATGGAAAAATATGATAATTAAAACACTTATTATTAATTCCTCAAGTCTACTCCACTGTTAACATTTTAGAATTCTAGCTTTTTTAGAATTTACGGGCAGAAGGTCAGATGGGATCTGTTAAAAGAACTGTAGAAAACAACATTAGTGAGAGTAATAAGAATAACTAACATTTCTTATTGAGCCCTATCCACGGGCACCTTTCTAAATATTTACATACATTTTCTCATTTAATCCTCAAACAACGTGATGAGATTTAGTTATTACCATCCCATTTTATGATGAGTTAGTGGATGACAGAGCTTTAGGTCAGTTCTCCATTATCTGCACTGTCGGAGCAGAGCTGGGACAGATCATCTCAAATCCCAGAGGCCAGAGGCCATTTCTGTCTGTCTTTAGGATGCAGGAGCTGCCCCCTCTTTAACCCATCATGCCCCCAGGTTTACCCCTGAACTTGTTGGATCCAGTTTCTGTGACAAGGATTTTGCATCCCCTGGGAAACAACCCTGGACTGTAAGGGGTGTTGAGGCACATTCAGGAAGCCAGGTGGTCAGCAGTGGTCACACTCAGGAGACCCACAACTCATGGTTGGGAGTCAAATGAAATCAAATAATTATTATGATGGGAGCTCCAAGTTCCAGTCTGAGCACATGCAGGACACAATGGGGGCCCAGTCCTCCTTGGGGTCAAATAGGCTGATGGGAGAGACTCAGCCCCTTCCTTGAGGGGACCCCCAATCCAAAGAAGGGGAAATAGCCCTTGTCTTGGGGGATGTCCCAGTCTGATGAAGGAGGATGCCTCTCCTACTCAGGGGAATTCCACACTGGGGGAGGAGACACATCTCCCAGCATGACAAGGGACACTGTACATCTGCCCAAAAGACTAAAAAAAAAGAGACAATGTATAGAAATGAAATTACCCTATTTCATCAAATCTAAGATGCCACCAATAGTAAGATGCATCATTATTTTATATTCTGCTAAGAATGAAAAACACTGACAATTAAACTATGACATTTCAGTTATAAGACATTTAATTTCAGAAATTTTTAAAAACATAAGGTTTATTGTTTAATGGGTATAGAGTTTCAGTTTAGAATATGAAAAGGTCCTAGAGATGGACGGTGGTTATGGTTACATGACTATATCAATGTATTTAATGCCACTGAACTGTAAACTTAATGGTTAAAATGGTAAATTTTATGTTACATATAGTCTTAGTCCATTCACGCTGCTGTAATAAAATACCTGAGACTGGGTTATCTATAAGCAATGGAAATTTATTCTCTCAGCTCTGGAGGCTGGGAAGTCCAAGATCAAGGCACTGGCATGTTTGGTGTCTGGTGAAGGCCTGGTCTCTACGTCTGAGATGGAGCCAAGGCTGTGTCCTCACGTGGCAGAAAGGATAGAAAGGCAAAAAAAAGGGACCTGGATACCTCTCTCCAGCCCTTTCATAAGGCACTAATCCATTCATGAGGGCAGAACCCTCATGGTATAATCACCTCCCGAAGGCCAACCCTCCTAATACTGTTGCATTGGGGATTAAGTTTCAACAGGAATTTTGGAAGGACACAAACCTTCAAACCACAGCATGTATATTTTACCACAATAAAAAAAATTTTTTTAACATAATGTCTAGAATCAATGAAATATAGTACAGACTCCGTGCTGGGGGTACTGAGGAGACCTGGCATGAAGGGGAGAACTGATTGGGGTGAATTAAACCATGGGTTACTTCCTGGAAGAAAGGGGAGGAGGCTGTGAGGGGGTGCAGGCTAGGGGGGGTGCATGCTGCACTGATCCCACAGGACAGGTAAGGGATCCCAGCCCACAGCCTCAGCCCGCTTTGCTGTCCCACAGGTGCCAAGAGGAATGCCCCTTTGGGACCTTCGGCTTCCAGTGCTCCCAGCGCTGTGACTGCCACAACGGGGGCCAGTGTTTGCCCACCACGGGCACCTGTGAGTGTGAGCCTGGCTACAAGGGCCCACGATGCCAGGAGCGGCTGTGCCCTGAGGGCCTGCATGGCCCAGGCTGCACCTTGCCCTGCCCTTGTGATGCCAACAACACTATCAGGTATGAGCTGGGGACAGGTAATTGTGGGGACAGGGGCATGGTGGGCTGTAATGGAGAGGGGGCTTCTCAAGCCATGGCCCCCAACCTTCAGTGCAACCATCCAGGCAGGGTAGAAAAGAGCTGTGACCTCAGCCATCAGCTCTAATAACCACACAACCAGAGTCAGGACCAGAACCCAAGTCACCTGCCTCTGTTCGCCACATCTGGCTGCCTGCATTTCAAAATGGGCCAATCTGAGACCCCACACACAGGAGCAAGGAGACAGCTTGGTGACTTGGGGGAGCAGGTTGGGGGTGTGGTGGGGCTGCACTGTCCTGGGGACTGGGATGGGAATGCCATAAGCTCTGAGCACATTGTCCTAGAGAGCATTTCCCATCTATATACACAGCATCTAACCAGACACAGGGCCATAGGGCAGAAGCAAGGGCTTGAGCCACAGAAGGTCAGTACTAGAAGGGACCTTAAAAAATCAGTGTGGGACCGGCCGCTGGCTCATTTGGGAGAGTGTGGTGCTGATAACACCAAGGACACTGGTTCGGATCCCTATATAGGAGTAGCCGGTTAGCTCACTTGGGAGAGCGTGGTGGTGACAACACCAAGGTAAGGGTTAAGATCCCCTTACCAGTCATCTTTAAAAAAAAAAAAAAAATCAGTGTGGCCCACCCTGAGGTCCAGAGAGGGTTGTCCCAGCAGTCCCTGGCAAGGATAGAGAAGCAGGAGGGACAGAGGGCAGCCCTTCATCAGGGCCTTGACTTGGAGCCATCATCTCCCTGCAGTCTGTGTCCTTTGTGGCTTGGGAACTCCTGAGCAGAAGCTTGTCTCACCCCTGCTTCCAAAGGAGCCTGAACTTGTGAAGCCAGAGCTGTCCCTAGCCGCCTCTCCTGGCTCCCTTCCCTTCCTGCCTCACGCACCAGCTGGCAGCGCCCTCTGTAATAATGAGGCTGTCCTCCCCAGATAAATGCCTCTACAACCCTTCATCATGGCTGTGTCTGATCTGGGTGGTGAAGGGTCGGGGGAGCATCCCTTCTTCCCTCGGGACTGCTCTGGTGGAGGACCAGCTGCTCTGGGCAGGGGGTGCTGCTGCTATTTGCAGGGCAGGCAGAGAATGCCTCTGCTTTGCAGCTTTTTCGCTGGGACAGCCAGGACGTGGCCTTGACCCCTCTTCATTTCCATCTTTTGATTTTTCACAAATTGCCCTGGAGCCTCTGGTCACTATAAGCAAAGACATGTCTGCAAATGCTGTGGCTTAGATAGAAATGGTCCTCAGTCTGTTGACCCCTCTTCATTTCCATCTTTTGATTTTTCACAAATTGCCCTGGAGCCTCTGGTCACTGTAAGCAAAGGCATGTCTGCAACTGCTGTGGCTTAGATAGAAATTGTCCTCAGTCTCAGCTGAGCAGCTGGGGTGGTCCTAGGTAAGGGAGGGTTGGGAAGGAGACTATACAGAGGGAGTCCTGGAGCCTGTATATGACCTGAGCATTCATTTACTCGGCCATTCATTCAACGAGCACTGAGTGTCTGCAGGGCTGGGCCATGAGGAGGAAACAGAGGCACCTTCAGCACCAGCCCAGCCTTCAGGAACTCAGGTCTGGAACGCTCATACACACTGAGTACCTTCTACCATATGTCTTCAAATACCAGATAACACCAGTAGTGAGGCACAGCTTTATTTTATGTACTACTAAAAAAGGAAAATGTTGTCAATGTAACTGTAATGTACCATTGATTGTATAACATGCCCAATATCGGAGATGTGAAATATGGGGGAGAAGTACATCTTAGAATTGATGAAATACATGTGGCTGGCCCTGCTGAGTCCCAACATGTGCCCAAGTAACTGTGACCCAGGACTGTGTGCAGGCAGCACCACAAGAGACTGCTGCACTGGTCAGGGAAGGCTTCCTGGAAGAGGTGGCATCTGGGCTGGATCCGAAGGGCAGGGTGAGAGCTCCAAGGGTATAAACACAGGGGTCCCACATGGCTGGTCAGGGGACTGGGCAGCTGCCTCAGATTATTCCATGGGTGGGGAACAGCACCAGGATTCCCCACCCCTGCTGGGAAGCCGAGGGAGGATCTTCTCAGGGACAGGAAGCAAGGCTGCTGGGGTCCAATTCAGGGATCGTCTCTGACACAGAGATGCAACCAAGCCCCAAATTAAAGAGCGATTGTTTTCCTCCCATGTCTGAGCAACTGTGCCCTGCATAATTTATCCTTCCTCTGAAGGAGTGCTCAATGCATTATTAATCTGGAAAGACTCCCTCTTCTCTGTCACTAATCGCAGACCATCCAATATTGATGATTATTTGCTTGACTGTCTTTAACGTGTGTCATGTTTCAGTGATTGGGGGACAGTGGTGATTCTTCGGAGCGGGGGCTCCAAGTGTGCCTGCCAGACCACCCCCCAGGCGGGGCTCCTCAGTGTCTGTATCACCACATCCTCGGGGGGAACTCTGGCACAGCCTGGGCTCCTTGAGGGCACGAGCAGCCTGGCTTGTCCATCTCCGTAGCCTCTAGCCTCAGCATTGCACAGTGCCTGGCATAGAGTAAGGCCTTCAGTAAAAAGAATCACTGAATTAATCTTAAACAGCCCATCCCTCTAGATGGTTCTGCCCATTAACTGATGTGTGCCCTATTTTTTTCAATTTTAATATTTCACTCCTCTCTCTTGGCACACTGCTCCTGTGACTAAGCCCCTGACACTTGCAAAGTTTTTGTTCAGTCCAGTTCAGTGTTTCTCAGCCTTGCCGTCATTGACGCTTTGAGCTGGATAATTCTTCGTTGTGATGGCTGTCCTGTGCCTTGTTGGATATTAAGCAGGATTCCTGGCCTCTACCTACTAAGTGCCATTGGCAAGTCCCTCCGTAAGTTCTGACAACCAAAAGGGTTTTCAGACATTGCCAAATGTTCTGGGGTGGGGTGGGGTGGGGTGGGGGAAGCAAAATTGCCCAAGGTTGAGAGCCTTTGGTCCAACTGAACTCTCTCATGCTGGCTCTGTCCTCATGGACAGAGAGAACAGCTTTCTTCCTTGGTATGGACACTGGTCAGCCCCTCTCTTCCCATGAGCCTTGGTCCCATTATAGAGCCTTCTCTTGGGATCCAAGAAAAGCACAGAAATGACTCTGTCACTCCTAATCTCAAGGCAATTAAGCTGCAGGTACTGGGTAGGGGTCGGGACCCCTGAATCCTGGCCTCAGACCTCTACCTCTGTCTAAGCAAATTGTCCTGACATGTACTTCTCCTCTGTATGCCTCAGTTTCCCAATCTGTTCATCACCTTTCATCAACCCAGTGGGGCAAAAAGTTCTCTTGTGGTCTTTGAAAGTGAAGCTTTCACCCAACTCCCTGAGAGATGAGCATGGGATCTCTAAAAACCTAACCTCACCTCTCCCTGGCTTCTGCAAAGCTTACAACAACCCTACCCAATGACAGGCTTACAAGGCCTTGAGCATCCTTCCTAGGGAGACAAAGTACTCCCAACCCCCAACCAAAGAAAGACCTACCCACCTAGCCCCAGCCTCTCTCTGCTCCCTGCCCCTCTGGTGAGGCTGCTTCACAGAGATTGAATCTGCATGCCCAGGGAAGGTAGAAGTGGCTGGTAAGATCCCCCAACACTTCATCCCTTTTATAAACTCTGTAGCACACACAAAGAAGCTATCCTCTTTCATAAAAGAATAACCTTGAGAGAGAGAGTGCCTGTGTGTCAGGTCTCTTAAATACCCCCTCCACAATTGGATTGTCATAGACAAATTCCAGCAGCCATGATCATGTATTACCTTTGAAAGATTCAATTTAGCCAACAGATGCAACACTGATAGAAATCTCATAGTGGCCAAAAGAAAGGCAGAAAAATCCACTCTGAAAAGATTCCGGTATTGTTCAATTTTCGGCTACTATTAATTTGTGATTAATCTATGTCTTGGGAAAATAGGAGAAAAGGGGGAAAAACCTCAGAGAGCACTGAACCAACCTAAACACTGGTGACTGTGACTTTAGCCTGAGCCAAACCAGCAGTCCCTGGCCAACCATGGGACCCAAAGGAATGGGGACCACTGCTGGGAATGGTGACCACCACTGGGAGGAAGGGATGCCTGGGAGAGGGGATGCACCTGTCCCTCTGCTGTGGGACAAAGGTGCTGAGCATGGTGATCACAGCTGTCAGTCATAATCACTGTCATCTGTCATTCCCCATCCTCGTTTCAGAGGGACTTTTGGAGTTTTTATAATATAAGACAAGTAATTGAATTAAGAAAATAAATATCTCATTTTTGGAAATAGAATCGTAAGGACATGAAAAGGAGAAAGAAAGGAATGATTTTGGATTTGGTTTTGAGCTTTCTGATTCTCAGAGTAAAAAGTATAATTAGTGCTTAGACACACCCCACGCAGCCAAAGCAATGGCAGCAGAGATCAAAAGCAGGAAAGGCAGGGAGTATTTAGAAGTCCGTGCTTGCTAGCTCATTGCGTGTCTAGTGTACTTTTCACAAGGTGGTGCCCTCGCCAAAGTGAGAACCTGTAATGGGTGAACTCCAGCCTGGCCATTTGCAAGGAAGAGAAGAGATAGCAGAAGAAACTATTGATGGGAAGGGCAGAAAGGTGCCTGAGACCTTCTAGAATCTCTGGGGCTGGGCAGAGTTGATGGTAGCAGGCAATACCTGCCGGGTCATTCCTGGGCCTAAGCATGCCAGTCTCCATGACCATGACTGTGCTGATCCCTCTACCCCAAACCTAAACCTCAGAGGAGGCACCTAGAAAGTTGGAACCTAGAAATGCTGTGCCTGAGGGCTTTGTTCGGAGTGTCGAGAGGGTAATGCCCCAAAACCATCTGGCTGAGTGTCAGGGCCACCAAGCGGGCCCTGCCCCCTGGCACCCATGTAGGTCGTTATCTCCCCTAACAGTGCTTGGGGATCGGAGGAATTTTTCTAGAACAGTGAAGACCAGAAAGTCTTCAAACACTCATCCCTTACACCCATTCTTCTTAAATATATCTATAATTTATATCACTTTACATCTTTTTATAAATGAAATAGATGCTCAGTTTGGGGAAGTTAGAGAATACAGACATTTAAAGAAAAAACTCAGAATTAGTCATAATTTCTCAATCCAGAGGTAAGCACAAAAACTACTTTGCTGTACTCTGTTTATTCTTCATCCATGTCTACATCTATATCATTTTTTTTCATATTTTAGATCATGACTTTGTATACAACTACCTTATTTCACTTAACCTTATATCATATCATTAAATATTTTGGAAAACAAATGGTTACCAGAGACTAGGAGGGGAGACAGGTGAAGGGGAGGAGAAAGGGATGTATTAACGGGTACAAAACTATGCTATCTGCCCTAAACCCATCATCGTGCCATATCTGCATGTATTGAAACACACTGTACCCCACAAAAATAAACATAAATAAAACTGATTCTTAAAAAAGAAGAAAATATTTTGGAAAACAATCGAATACCTCTCTAAGATTCCTTCATGTGGATGGTCATAGTTCATTTAATCAGCATCCCGTTGACAGAGGCGGCAAGATTTAGTGGATAAAACATGGCCAGACAGACCTGGGTTAGAATCCCAGCTCCACCACTCACTAACTTAGCTGTGTGACCTTGGGCAAGTCGCATAATCTCCAAGTGCCGTCAGTAAAATAGAGGCTCTAATGCCTAACTCACGAACTTATTTGAGGATTAGAAATTATGTGTAGAGTGCCTGGGGCTTTACTAGCCTGGTCACATATTATTTATTATTATTTAAATTGCTTCCATTTTCCACTGTTATAAATAATTCTTCAGGGAACATCTCTGTGAATAAATCTTTCTCCACAACTATGAGTATTTCCTTAGGATAGGTTCCTAGAAATGGAATTACAAGACCAAAGAGTCTGAATATTTTTAGGTCTCCTGATACATAACCCCAAATTGTTTTGAAACCTTTACCAGCATTAAAAAAAAAAGCTTTACTAGTTTCATAGAGGAAAAGTAGTATCCAATTAATTGTTTTGACTTGATGATTAATGAGACTAAACATTTTCCAAAATGATTTTTAGCTGCTTGCACTTACTATTCAGGAATTGTCTGCTTCCGTCCACCTCCACATTTTCTGTGAGAAAACAGGGGCCCCCAGAAGAGAAACAGTTTGGCTGGGCTTCACGCAATTAGTTTGTTCATTAATTCATTTGCCAAATAAGTATCAAGCACCTCCTGTGTACCAGGGACTCTGCTGGGCCCTGAGAGGTAAATGAGACAGACAGAGGGCTCTCCCCCATGGAGCTGCAACCCAGTGGGGGACAGATGATAAACAAGTCAACAGACACAGAAAATAATTATACATAGTGAAAGCTGTATTCATTCCCAAATATTTAATTGAGCAGTGAATATGAGCTAGGCACTGGGGATCTACCACTGACCCAGAGAGGCAAAGCCCATGTCTTCAAGAAACTTAGCAGAACCAGGACTTGTACCCAGGCTCCTCCTGCCAAGCCAGTGCATGCTTCCTTTTTTTTTTTTTTTTTTTAAGATGACTGGTAAGGGGATCTTAACCCTTGACTTGGTGTTGTCAGCACCACACTCTCCTGAGTGAGCCACGGGCCAGCCCCAAGTGCATGCTTCTCTTGACTGTATCCCCTGAGCTGGACTCTGGAGCAGGGAGGCAGGTGACACAGGAAATCTAAGAGGCTTATTTTTACCACCCAGAACCTGCTCTGGTATGTTAGTCTGGGCCCTCCCAGAAGCAGATGCCAAGTGCAAGAGGTTTAACTAGGGGGATAGGTCTGTGAGGGGAAATGGGGAGGCAGCTGGGGAGGCTGGGAGAGTTGTCAGACCTCGAGGCAGGTATGACCCAAAGGACAGAGAGAGGGAAGGAAGGGAAATTGGGTGAAAAGGTTTTAGCCTGCAGCACAGCTCTAAGAAAGGTTGGCAAGATGGGGAGTCTTGAAGCCAAAGGTACACATCATAGGGGTCCCCAATCTCCCAGGAATGTGTCCACCTTAGTGTCTCTGCTGTGCTCCAGCTGAGAGCAGCCCATGGGAAATGCAGCCTCTGAATTTCAGACATAGCAGCTGGGGCCATCGGTCAATGACGCTCCTCCAGGAGCTCTGGGCAACTCATGGTCACCATACTCAGCCTCCTCTGACGGGGTCCCTGCCTTGGACCAATGGACATTGGCTGTTAGATCAGACTGCTACTAGCCACAATTTGCCCTACTCTCTGGAGGTCATGCCAGGCAGCACCTGCCTCCAGCCAAATGGTCTTTTCCCTAGCCTAGACAGATAGGGGGTAGAGAAGAGCTTACTCACTGTTAAAGAGCCCTGGCAAAGCATAGTTGGGTATATTCTCACCAGAGCAGACAAGGCCAGAGAGGGGAAGTCACATCTGCCCTGAGGTCTTGTTTTTCGTTTTGTTTTGTTTTGTAGCTGGCCAGTACGAGGATCTAAACCCTTGACCTTGGTGTTGTAACACCACATTCTAACCAATTGAGCTAATTAGCCAGACTGAGGTCTTGTTTTATTTATTTGTTTGTTTGTTTGTTTGTTTGTTTTTTAAAAGATGACCAGTAAAGGGATCTTAACCCTTGACTTGGTATTGTCAGCACCATGCTCTCCCAAGTGAGCTAATTGGCCATCCCTATATAGGGGTCTGAACCTGTGGCTTTGGTGTTATCAGCACCACATTCTCCCAAGTGAGCCACGGGCTGGCCCCTGAGGTCTTGTTTTAACTCAGCCAATATCCGCTGAGCACCTGCAACAGGGAGAGCTGCTGTGTCTCATTGCTACCTCTTGTGCCTGTCCCCATGCTAGGCATCTGCCTTGGGTGATGGTGGGTGAAGCTCTGGACTCCATAGTCCATAATGTGAGGGACCACAGAGGCCAACCTCTGCTTTGACCTCTATATATTTGTACTATAAAGAGCATTTGTTTGGGAATAAGAAGACCTGTGTTCTAATCCTGATCTTGCCACCTCCTTGCTGTGTGTCTTTAGGCAAGTTATATAACCACTATGAGCTTCAGTTTCTGGGGGCTAATAAGGCCACATGGCCTTGGCATCTTTTGATAAATAAACAAGGCATTGAGCAATTTAACCTCAGAGGTTCTCTGATCCTGCTACCCTGGACAGACCAGACTTGGGGTAGGCAGAGCATGGGACATGGCTGCATCCCTGACCAGATTGTCCTTTCACCCTTCTCTCATCCACTCAGCTGCCACCCAGTAACTGGAGTTTGTACCTGCCAGCCGGGCTGGTCCGGCCACCACTGCAATGAGTCCTGCCCTGCTGGCTACTATGGTGATGGATGCCAGCTACCTTGCACCTGTCAGAACGGCGCTGACTGCCACAGCGTCACCGGGGGCTGCACTTGTGCCCCAGGCTTCATGGTAAGATGGGAGGGGCCTCCCGTGGCCTCTTTGATGCCCACTGGGCCAGCTCCCCTCACCTCCCCCCACCTCCTGATGCAACTGGGAGTGTGGCCGTGTATGCAGGGGGTGCCCCCTCAGAGGTAGAGTCCATGACCAGAGAGCCCCTGAAGCTGTTCTCAAAGGGATGGGGTTTGTAACTGTAAACGTAAAAGTAGGAGGAGGTCTTTCCATTGTCCCCCAGCTCTGACACAGCAGTCGTCTCCCTTTGTGCCCAGCTCCTCCCTGTCCACAGCCTGTGTATACAATATTTTTACATAATAACCACAGTGCACATATAAAGTTTTGCATCTGCTTTCTTTCACCCACATTTCTATGTTGCCGCTTGGGCTTCTTAATTATCATTTTAAATGGCTGTATAACTCTGTAGGAGCAGATGTACCCCCAGTTTACTCAGCCATTCCCTTACTGCTGAATATTAAGTTGCGTCCATTGTTCACAGAGAACGTTGCAATGAGCATCTTCGTACAAACAGCTTTCCCCCATCCTGCTGAATTATTTCCTTACGGTGAATTCCCAGGGTCAGTGGGCATAACAAATTTATGGCTCTTGATGGATGTTGCCATATTACTTTCCTCAAGGGTTATATAAATCTACACTGCCACCAGCCGTGTATGAATGTACCTATTTCAGAACAACTCTGCTAATATTTTTTTTAATTTTTGCTAATTACATAGGTAGAAAATGGTTCCTCAATGTTGCTCTAATTTGCATTTCTCTGATTACTAAGGAGAATGAACATTTTCCCCACGTATTTGTTTACTATTTGTATTTCCTCATGAATTATGCTGGTCTTTATGAGATTTGATTCTGGAGAACTTGACATTGGAAATGGAATCCTGTTCAAAGGTGGGGTGTACCCAGTGGGTCTGAGAATCCAAACGCTGAGGGGTCCCCCATGGCCATATTTTCTGTTATGCTGTAGGAAGTGGTAGTTGAGAGACTGTGGCCTTCGGTACCAGATCTGGGTTTTCTTTTTTTTTTTTTTTTTGGTGGCTGGCCAGTACAGGGATCCAAACCTTTGACCTTGGTGAAGGTCCTCACTTTTAGTAGGAGGTTGATGTACAGTCATAGTTTTCACCTTGGGCTGCACAATGGAATCACCCGGGAGCTTTACAAACACTGATGTCTGGGCCCCACTCCCAGAGATTCTAATGTCTTTGGTCTAGGTGTGGTCTGGCGGAGGCCAGTGTGCAGTCAAGGAGGAGATCCACTGATCTACAAGGAAGTCCCCCACTCCCAGAGATTCTAATGTCTTTGGTCTAGGTGTGGTCTGGCGGAGGCCAGTGTGCAGCCAAGGAGGAGATCCACTGATCTACAAGGAAGTCCTTGTTGTGACGATGGGCGTTAGGGTTTTCCCGGTGACTGTGTCTTTTGAGGGCAGGTTGCCCCTGGTCTGCAGGGCAGAACTCAGGACAAAACACTGTTCATCTCCCTCTTCCTCCTCCCCAGTGCAGATAATAAAAAAACTGGGTGAAAATGAACTTTTTGGCATCTTTGAAAGGGAAAGATGTCTGTTCCTTCTAGAGGTTTCCTCTCTAATTTGTCTTTGTTGTGTTTTTGTCCATAACTTCTACAGAAAAATGAAAGTGCCCTAGGTTTTGGGTTTGGGTAGGAAAGAATAGCTGTTTGAGATTAAAAATCTCACATAGCAAGTGATCAGGTGACTGAAGCTGACTACACCAGACTGCTAGTGGGGCATCCTGACCCCAGCCCCAGCTTGGCTACTAGGCTAGTTCTATGACTCTAGGCAAGTGGCTTCCCCTCTCAGGGTCCCAGTTCCTTCATCTATAAATGGTGAGTTTACAAGGAGAAATGAGACAACTAATTTCTAAGATGGTCTGCTATATGGATGGACCAAGTCAGGAAACACTCTCTGGGGGAGATGGGAGAACATAGGAGCAAGAGGTGTATGCACACAGGGAGGGGGAGCTCAGTGAGGGCTGTTGTAGTCTGATTATATACCTTGTCTTTGGGCCTGCTGACAGTCCCACCTCCCTGTTCCCCTTTCTTAGCCCCAGCTGCCTGCCTAGTCACTGCTCCTCAGAGGAAGGGAAAATCGGGGCCCTGGGGGCCTGGGCACTAGCATCTGTGTGCCCACTGCCCCCAGGCCAGAGCTCCAACAGTCTGAAGGCTGGGCTACTGCCTCTCCTCCTCCCATCTGGGATGCAAATGACTTCCTGTCCTTGATCTTGGGGGAACTTGGCACTTGTGGGAATCATCTCTCTGTGGAGTCCCACCTGCCTGGGGCTCTGGCTTAGACAGATTGTGAGCCAAGACGCCCTGAGAGACCCCACAAATTCCCATCCATTTCCTCCTGCCCAGGCTCATTACATCTAGAAAGGCCCTTCTGGGGCCCTGTCAGGTGTTGGCCAGGGGCTGCACGTGGTGATTACAGAACAATCCATTGTTCTCAACCAGCGTGACATTCCTGCATGCACCAGACTCCGAGGGGGAAGCCATCACTCTTGCCCTCACCCCAGCTTCTGAGTGAATGCAACTTCTTGCAATTAGCCAGCTCTGGTCAATGTGGGAGATTGGGGCAATCAGCATTGCGGACTCAGCTGAGACTCTCCCTGAATTGTCCCATATTCAATAATGATAAGCAATGTCTTTGTTGGTTGGCTTGTGATTTATGTACCTGCCTTTTTCCTTGAAAGACTTTAGGATGGGAAATTGTTAAAAGAACTCGTTTCTGGGTGTTTGGAGACCTTCATCTTAGGCTCAGTAACCTTGGACATGTCACTTCACCTTGCTGAGCCTCAATTTCCTTCTCTGTAAGGTGGGAGGAGTCAATCAGTCTTGCCCACTACTGGATGTAAGTAGCCAACATGGTAATGGGTGTGAGGCCACATTCTCAGTTGTCCCTGCCCACCAGAGCTCTCACTGCCAAGGGCTCTTTAAGGAGGATGTTGGGATGGCTTTATAAAAGTAGACTCTCTGAGGGCTGAGAATGGCCTCAGGCTCAACGTAATCATGAGGGGTGCTGATGAGGTAGTGCAGAACCACCCCTGGGAGCTCAGGGACATGCTTGCTCCCTCCAGGTGGTCCCCACCCCTTGAATGATATAGGGCAGAAGTGGGCCCCACTTGGCACTCTGCATGGGTTGGCCCTCACGCACTTCCTCCTTCCTTCCCAGGATAGTGGATATTTGCTAAGGACCTCGGGGTAGGGTGGGGGTATGGAAAACTAATCAGACATCATCCAGCCATCAAGAAGCTTGTGCTGGGCCAGCCTGTGGCTCACTCGGGAGAGTGCGGTGCTGATAACACCAAGGCCACGGGTTCGGATCCTATATAGGGATGGCCGGTTTGCTCACTGGGTGAGCGTGGTGCTGACAACACCAAGTCAGGGGTTAAGATCCCCTTGCCAGTCATCTTTTAAAAAAAAAAAGAAGAAGCTTGTGCTGCAGTAATAATCCTGTTCACAGCAGCAGTGAGCACTCACTGAGTCCCTGCTGCATGCACCATCTCATGTATGCCTCCCGAGAGCCCACAGAGGTGCACTTTCACTTTCCTCAATTTGCAAATGAGGAGCTGAAGTTCAAACAGGCTAAGTGACCTGCCCAGGATCGCAAAGCCAGTAGTGGTGGGACTCACTCAACTCTCATATGTTAGTTCATGAGCTTTGATTGAAGGGTCACCTGGAACCACACATTCCTGAGTCCAAATCCTGATTTTCCAGCCCCTACTCTACCTACTTATCCTGCCTAAGCCTGAATTTTCTCATCTGTTAAAAGGAGGTTTTGCTGTGAGAGTGATAAACTTCATATAGAAAGTTCATAGCTCAGTGCCCAAAACGTAATAGATACCTGGCAAAATCGCAGCAGTTATTGGTAAACCATGAGAGTAGTGGGGGAACACGGCTTTCTCCAAGCCCAGCACCATCCCCTCCCCCAGGAGAGTGTCTGGATGAGCTGCACCCAGGGATTCTCAATGGAGCAGAGCCATGAGCGTGCACAAGTACTGTACCAGGTGGTCCACCCAAGCACCTGTGGGTGACCCTGAGTGGTCAGTCTCAGGAGACACTGTGAGGTGGACATGCCTGCCAATGTTTGAGGAAACAAAGATAAGGATGGAGGTGGGAAGAGAGTCTGGGCATTTTACATGTTAGTTTGGCAGCAGCCGTGGAATTACTTGGGGCATGCATTGGTGAATTGCACAGAGCTGCCTGGTGGGGGAAAAGAGCTCTGGGCTGGAAGGCAAGAAACTGACTTCATAGCTGTGGTTCTGTTAATGTTTTGAGCTTCTATTTCTCATCTGTAAAATGGGAATGAAATTCTCTGCCCAGTAGAAACAATGGTGTGAGCACCAGCTCTTCCGGTAGGAGTACTTAAAATTGGGAGGGGCATTGTTTCAGCACCTAGGACAGCGCACAAGCTGGGCTCTGAGGCTGCTCTGCACCCTCTTAGAACCCAAGGTCCTCACCCAGACAGAACACCAGGTGGACAGTGGGGGAGAAGGGCAGAGTGAGGGGTCACGTGACACAGGGGCTCAGACCTGCAGAGCCTGAGGTACCTGAAGCCCTGTCCTGGCAGTGTCTCTGTGGAGAAGTGAGGACTCTTCTTCCCACCCACTCAGGCCAGGGAAGTAGCCGAATTGTGGATGAGGGGGCTAGTGGAGCTGTCCATCCACTTGCTGGTTGGGGTCACATCACCCTTCTCCATTCTCCTCATTGCCTACCAAATAAAGCTCAAACCTTAACCTTTTGTAACCTGCCCTCAAAACTAGTTAATCCACTATGATCTCATTTCCTGCTAAGTCCTGACACAATCTGTGTGGTTGCCACACATAACTCACTTTTCCCCAAACATCGTCTCTACATTAGGGCCTCTGTCTCTGCCTTTTCTCAAGCTTTTCCCCCTTCTTAGATTGTCCTCCCCACAGTACTTATTGCATCTATGAAAATCTTTCTCAGCATTTCAGGCTAAGATCAGAGGCCGTCTCTTCCATGAAGCCTTC